AATTCGGAAACACTTGAAAAGTATTATAAAGAAACATTATACATGCAGTGCACGTAATATATACTTGATATACATCGCGGAAATGTGGAATATCAGTGAGCAGCTGTTTCAACTCCAGATGTTATATCTGTATGTCCACGTGAGCAACAAGCAAACTATCGTGCCTCGTTAATGTGAGTCTGTCGCACGTGTTCGCATTAGTGACAGAAGAAAAATTTTTACATGTGTGTAGATGTATGCACGTGTATTTATATGAAATGAAATGTGTACGAGCACAATGCACGATAGATGTAGTGCGAAGCTATAGCTGCAATGGAGGCTGCAGGAAAACCGAAAGCCATCTCTGGTCCATTCAGATACAACGGTACTTTGGCCGATTAACCGTGTGTTTCCCCTTCTTTTATGCATGGCTCTTCCCTTCCTTTCAGCTCTCTATCTCTCTGGAACTGCATTTTTCGACTCCTTATCTTCCTGGAGCAGAAATATGCAGAAATATTTTAAGTAAACGGAAATTACAGAGAAATAACGTAAAGATATTTATAAAAGTTTTATATGATTTTTGGGCATATATAGAATTAATAGATATCGCAAATCACTTTATAATTATGCAAATTTAATTATTTATAAGCAGAATGCTTTTATTACTATTTCTAGTACAGTAGGAACATTCGAAAGAATTCGACAGTTATTTCGACGAATAAAAATCTAAATTATTTCAGAAGGAAAAATTTTCGAACATTTATAGTATGATAATAATGATATAATGATTATATAATAATTTAATTACAAAACATATTGAATACATTATCTTTAATAATGTAAATAATTCAAAAATTTATTAGTTAATACATTACTATTCAATATGTTTAATGTAGTAATATATTAAACAAAAAGTATAACAAAGAAGAAACCTGTGTGTAAGGAAAAATTATGAATTATATATATATATATATTATATTACGTACAGTTCAGATTACGATGATATTCTAAATTAACATTTTTTATAAAAGATCTTTAAAATAATTACTCTAAAAAAGACAAATTTATAGCAATTTATATCACAAGACAAGTTTATTTTAAACTATTCGATTATTTAGGCAACTGTACGGTATGTTGCCTTCAAGTAAATAGTTTACAACACTTTTTATTCTTTAATAATTTGCAATCATTGATGAGGAAAACATTGATATTTTTTGTGTATATTTACGTATTTATTCCCAATATATAGCATTGTATGATCTCATTATAAAAATCGAAGAAAGAGTGAAGAGAACAAGGCTATATTAATAAAAGAGATTAATATCAATATAATATATAATACATTACGCACAATAACTATATAAACTTTGAATACAAATTTTAACATAAATATCTTACACGTCAAGCATTACATAACACTTTCTGATCAAACTCTTAATCCAATAATATAATCAAACGATACATTTTTCATTATTATAAAGATATATATTGATAGAAATATGTATATACAGAAATATGCACAGAATATAAACACCAGTGAGACAAAGATAGATGTCGAGAAAAGCTGAAGAGATTTGGCGTCGCTACAGTCGTCGACCACGGGGAAGTTCGCCAGTGCTCCATCGAGCCTCGTGCTATATCAAGCATATTTGCTATCTTTCTCTCACTCTTTTTGGCCATTTCTTTTCTTTTCTCTTTCTATCTCTTTTCCTCTCTCTTTCTCCGCTTCTCTCTCTCTCTCTCTCTCTCTCTCTCTCTCTCTCTCTCTCTCTCTTTCTATCCCTCTTTCACCCAAGTTGGGCATCATCAGCATCATTTTGCTCTTTGATCATTCTTTAGATAATACTGTAAATGTGATACTTTTGATATTTTGATATGTGAGAACGATCGGAAAATTAACGGGGTAATCGTCGAGCAAAGCGATCTTCTCAACAAGAAGGAGGAGGAAGAAGAAACACGATAATGGGCAACGCTACCACGAAAGATTATTCAAGAAGTATCTCCGTTGGCACCAGCTCGAAAAAAACGCGTTGGGATAATCCAGGTAAATTAGTCTATTGTTTTAGCCTTTTAATGCTATGATTCTTAATCATTTTGAAAAATCATTATTGAGAGTCAAGAGTAAATTATCATGTTGAACTAAAAAAGAAGAAATCGCTATCTAATTTAGTGCAATAAATGTTATATTTTGAAATACATCAACATAAAGATTTTTCCTTGTTTCTCTTTTTTTTCTACCTTTCCTATCATAACGTTTATAATAACAAAATAATTATTTACTTTTAAAAGTAATAAATGTTTTTATTACTTCCGAAAGATATAATCTTTACCCATTTTCTTAAATAGATATAAATTATCTTTTTTTATATTATAATAATATAATTACACTTAATAGTAGTAAAAATATTAATAATAAATTATTTTCTAATATGTGTCGTACAATTTATAATTTACATAATAATTACATTATTATAACTACATTGTATTCTGTCAAGATTTATTATTTTTTTTATTATAAATGTCATCATTATCTATTTTTTTCATATAGTTCATTTTCCTATTGCTAGTGATACAAACTTAAGATATAAAAGATTACAAAAATTATTGTCACACGCAATTACGTTCAATTAGTTTCGATATCGAAATAGCATCTAAAATTAGACTGCTACTAACTTTGATTTAGAAACGATTTAGATTGATTTTCAGTCTACTCCATTAATTACTATAACATTGTATAATGTCCATTTTTAATACATAATCAATGAACATTATGCGAAATCAGGATATCTCAAATACTTAATCTAAGGATAATGCGCCGGTTCAGTACTCTACTGTACTGCCAAACGCGACGCATTTTATTTTGGGAGCGGTACTTACGTACCGATGTTGAAAATCATCTGCTTCTATATACATACATGAATATAATATAGTTCTAGAGAATATATTTCTTAACATTAATATTATGTTTGCTTGTCACTTTCTTCAGTTTCAAATAAAAAAGAATATTATTAAATGCATAGTTATTACAAAATAGATTAATTATTAATTTTATGAAAACTTAAAAGAACTGAAGAAATTTGGTATAGGTCTTCCGGCCCCACCAGGCAGACCTATCTTGATTTCGGGAACGAACGAAACGCAGCCAGATCTTGTTGCAATACGATGGGAGAGATCACCAAGTAATGGTGGATCGGCGATCGTCGGATACTTGATCGAACATCGGCGACTAGGCTCTCCTCATTGGATACGAAGCACCTCCGGTCTTTGTGCTTTTCCAGAACTAACTCTCAGTGGGCTTGAGCCAGGATGGCGTTACCAATTTCGAGTCAGAGCACAAAACGCACTTGGATTTTCACAATCAAGCGAGGTCTCCGAACCACTCACAGTTACTTTACAAAGAGCCGCTGTCGCTTGCGCTCCTCATTTCGATCTAGAGCTTAAAGATACGGTTGCACTCGAAAACGAACAGGTACGTAAAGATTATTGCACGTTCAATCATAAAACTTAATGCATTTGTAATTTTCTAATATAGACTGAATTTGTCATACACTTCTCTGGTACACCATTGCCAAAAATTTCATGGTTTAAAGACGGTTTTGAGATCTTTAGTAGTAGACGCACTAGAATTATTACGGATAATGGAAAAAGTGTTCTCTTGATTCATCAGACCGCACTTAATGATGAGGGTGAAATTAAATGTACCGCCACCAATCGAGCAGGTCATGTTGCTACCAAAGCTAAATTAATTCTTGAAGGTAAATTATCAAAATAAAAAATATGTAAATATAAATATGTGATTCAAATTTTAAATAAGAAGATCCTATATTCGATTCAATCCTATTTTCGAAGCAAATAAACATTATTTTTTAATATCGATAAATTGCTGAATTATTTGTCTTAGCATCTCCACGGATACGATTGCCACGTCAATATGAAGATGGTTTACTTTTTGAGCAAGATGAGACTATTAGACTGAAAGTATCTTTAGCAGGTAGACCAACGCCTTTTGTCACCTGGTATCATGACGGAGAACTGATATCCAAAGATATTAGACATATATTTGAAGTGATGGATGGTGAATCAGTACTGAGAATACCAGATGCCAAACGAAATGATCGAGGAGAATACACTGTTAAAGTCGCAAATAAATTAGGCGAAGATACTGCGTCTTTTCTAGTCACTGTGACAGGTGATGATATTACATTAATTTAAAGACTAGGATTTTAAAATGTCATGTAAATTTGATAAGTTACGTGTTTTTTTGAATTATCGATTTTTTTGAATTATCAACAGATCGACCCGCTGCTCCTGGTAAAATAGCTGTTGCGATGACACTAGGTAGATCGGTGACGTTGTCGTGGAAGGAACCAGAAGATGACGGCGGATGTAAAATCGGGACTTATATTATCGAGTACTACAGAGTACGTAATTGAAATTATTATTTCCATATGTAAAAATTTTCAGAAACTTGGCAATGATATTTTAGATTGGCTGGGAGGTATGGCTTAAGGCAGTTACAAGCAGACGCACAACCGCAACATTAACTGAATTAATCGAAGGTTCTGAATACAAATTTCGTGTGAAAGCTGAGAATCCTTACGGAGTCAGTGATCCGAGTGAAGAAAGCGATGTTATTTTCATTCCAGACATTAAACGAAGGTACTTTATATTATCGACAAATATTTAAATTTAGCATACATTTAGTTACACAACAATAAATTTATAATTTTACGTTGTAGAATCGTAACACCGTCTTTGAATGAAAAATCGCAAAGTCATCGAGAGATCAGCAGATCTCGTGGTGAC